AAGACAGAAACACAACAGTGAGTTTTATACTCGAAGTCAGAGACATCATGTGTATTGTCACACAAGAAATCAAAGACGCCAAGTGTAGTGTTCTAAATGAAGTCAGGGACACCAGAGGGAGTGTTACGCATGGAGTCAGAAACCCACAGGGAGTGTTACACACAAAGTCAGAGATGCCAGGAGGAGTGTGACAAAGTCAGAGATGCTGGGGGTAGTGTTATACAAGAAGTCGATGACCACAGGGGGAGTCTAATGCATGAAGTCAGAGGCACAAGGGGAGCATTATGCATTAATTCAGAGACACCCAAGAGTTTGTGTTAAACACGAAGTCAGAAACAACAGAGTGGAGTGTTACACATGATTTCAGAGAAGTCAGGAGGAGTGTTACACACAAATGATTGAGACCACATGGAGTGTTACACACAAACTCAGAGACGCCATTGGACACATTACAAATGATGTTAGAGATGCTGGGGGAGTGTTACACACGATATCAGAGACAACAGTAGGAATGTCATGTGCTATAACAGAGACAACGTCTGGAGTGTGATACATGAAGTCAGAGAGGTCACGAAGAGTATGAGGCAAGACTTCAGTGATGACAGGTGTAGTGTTACAGATGAAGTCACAGACTAAATGTGGACTGTAACACATGAATCAGAGAAACCAGCGTGAGTTTTACACACGAAGTAAGAGACGCAATGGGGAGTGTTACACTCTAATTAAGAGATGCCAAAGGGGATTGTTAAGCACAAAGGAAGAATCATCACCTGATTTGTTGCACATGAAGTCAGAGATGCTAGGGGGGAGTGTTACACACCCAGTCACCAACGTCTGGTGTAGTGTTACACAGGAAGACATAGACACCACGGGGATTGCTACGAACAAAATCAGAGATGCCATGGAGAGTGCTACACACACAGTCCCAGATGCCAGGTAGCATATAATACACAAAGGCAGAGACATATTGTGGGATGTTACACACAAAGTCCAAGACACCAGGGTTAGTGTGACACATGAAGTCAGAGACAAGAGAAGGGGTGTTAAACACGAAGTCAGAGATGTCTGGGAGAGCTGTACACATGAAATCAGAGATGTGACAATGGAGTGTTGCACATGAAGTTGGAGAAGCCAGGGGGGGTGTTTCACACGATGTCAGAGACTCCAGGCAGAGTATTAGGCAGGAAGTAAGAGACGTCAAAGGTAGTGTGATGCACGAAGTCAGAGACACCAGGAGTAGTGAGACACAAGAAGTCAGACACTACATGGGGAGTGTTAAACACCAAGTCAGAGATGCCAGGGGAAGTGTTACAAATGATGTCATAGACGGCTGAGGGAGTGTGACATACGAACTCAGGGAAACCAGAAGGAGCATGACAGAAGAAGTCAGAGGCGAAATGCAGTGTGCGACTCATAAAGTCAGAGACACCAGGGGGAGTGTTACGCAAGAAGGAAGTGATGTGACCAGGAGTGTGACACACGATGTCAGAGAGGTAATGGGGATTGTGACACATGAAGTCAGAAACGCCATGGAGATACTGTTACAAAAATTCATAGATGCCATGGTGGAAATTTACACACAAAGTGAGAGACTCCACCTTGGGTGTTACAAATGAAGTGAGAGATGGCATGGGGTGTGTTACATATGAAGACAGAGATGTCACATGTAGTGTTACACATTGAATCATAGACACCTGGGGAAGGTTACAAACTGATACAGACAAGCCAGGGGATGTGTTACTTATGAAGTCAGAGAGGCCACTTAGAGTATTACACACCATGTCAGAGATGCCAGGGGGCCTGTGACACATGAATTCACAGACACAATGGGGAGTGTAGCACACAGTCAGAGACACCTGTTGGAGCCTTATGCATGAACTCAGAGAAACCATGGGGGTCTATTATGCATGAATTCTGAGATGCCACCAGGTGTGTTACACACGATGTTAGAAACGTCAAGAGGCAAGTGATACACAGTCAAAGATGCCAGGTGGAGTATGACACATGAAGTCAGAGCTGCCATGGGGAGTGTTATACATGAAGTCCAAGATGCCATTGAGAGTGTGACACACGAAGTCAGACACTCCAGGAGGAGTTTGACACACGATGTCTGAGATGCCAGTGGGAGTGTTTCACATGGACTCAGAGGGGCAAGTGTGATAGTGCACACAACTCCTGAGATGCCAGGGCATATGTTACACCAGAATCACCAGGGGTAGTGTTACACAGGAAGTCAGAGACATCATGGAGTGTGTGATACATGATATCCTAGAAGCCAGTGTGGTGTGTTACTCCCAAAGTCAAAGATACATGGTGAGTTTTGCACAGGAAGACTGAGACACCTGGGGGATTGGCACACAAGTGAGAGATGCCAGGTGGAGTGTTAGACACAAAGTCCAAGATGCCAGGGGTAGTGTGACACATGAAGTCAGAGATGAGAGTTGGGGTGTTACACACAAAGAGCTATCTGGGAGAGTGTTTCACATGAAGTCAGAGACACCACAGGGCAGTGTCACTCATGAAGTCAGAGAAGCCAGGAGGATTGTGACACATGATGTCAAAGACACTGGGGAGAGTGTTACACATGGAGCCAGGGATGCCAGTGGGAGTGTTACATATGAAGCCAGAGAGGAAATGTGGAGTGTTACAATGTCAGAGACTCCAGGGGGATTGTGGGACACGAAGTGAGAGATGCAATTGAGAGTGTTACAAATGAAGTCAGTCATGCCTGGGGGAGTCTTACACACATAATTAGAGATGCCACTGTGGAGTGCTACCCACAAATTCAGAGACACCAGGGAGAGTATTACACATAAAGACAGAGACACCAGGGGGAGTGTAACACATGAAGTTGGAGATGACATGTCATGTGTGACACTCAAAGTCAGAATGGCCAGGTGGAAAGTTACACACGAAGTCAAATACCACAGGGGGAGTGGTATACATGAAGTCATAGACACCAGTGTGAGTGTTACTCAAGTTATAGATGGAAGGGGAAGTATGACGCATGAACTCAGAGACACCAGAGGGAGCATGACACATGAAGTCTGAGATGTGACAAATAAAAATGGCAAGCAATAGGATATATTGGAGAATATGAGGAAGCCATTTGCTATGAACTGTCGACGAAAATAATCCATAACCAATTTATAAATGAAAATTTGGGTGAGTTTATTCTGAGCTTAAATCTTAGGATTATAACCCAGGAGTCTTTTCAGAAAGGAACAGAGCACTCCAAAGAAGTGGGGGTACACAGGCTGGTTATATACCCTCAAAGAGTGTGTTTCACATATGATTGAAATGTCACTCCCACAATAGTCACAAGATTGCCCTGTCAGCACAGCACTTGATGGACACAGCAGGTAGTGGGTCTGCTATCTTGGTGGGTGTAGCAGGAGGCAAGTCTATTGTCTCAAGCTGGGTGGTCACAGGTGAGCACAGCAATCAGTTTCTAGCCTAAGGAAAGATGCTTAATCCTTAAGGAGATGCCAACGTTGGGAGGGGGAGGGAAGTTGCACCTTTATCTCAAGGGCCTTTTGCTCTTGCCATAGGGAATCTCTAAAGCAGATATACAATGCATGCTCAACGGCCTCCGTCAGGCCCTTTTGGAAAGACAAGGTCAAGCCAAATTAGGTTTATACCAAATGGCTTCCTCATATACTACAATATATCCTATTACTTGCCATTTTTATTTGTCATTTTCCCCTTTTGATCTCTAATCTTTCGATAGAAAGCATTGATGATCAAAATATTGTCCCTCAGCGCCAGGGTGGTTGCTGCCTGCCCTGGGTCCATCATGTCCCTCGGTGATAGGCTTTTAGCTCATTTATTTGCCTAGTCGACCACTTTGGGGGGGAAATAGTGGACAAGCATAGAGTTATATATATATTAACAGAGGAAGCATTTCATATGTCATGTAATTTCCAATTAATTTTAGATAGTTGTGCAAACATTGTATATGTGCTTTTTATGACACTTCACATTTACATTGTTTATGATTATAGAACAAGTACAGTAATGATAATAACTCAGAACTTTTAAAAGGATTAGTCGGAAATGAATTCTTAGTCATAGTCACTATCAGAAAAGGAAATTTGTCCAGGGTTATAAGACAGATCAACCATCACAAGCCATCGAGCAATCATTACTCTAGTTTGTATGCTACTCTTACAACACTGAGTAAAGAAAACAACAATTAGTTTGAATATTATGACTAGTACAAGAATTCCAAGAAGTAGTTGTAGGGGAAGAAGACATTTCCTCTTCCCAAATGTGGGTTCGTCTGGCCAGAGAACAAATTAAATTCACATGAGACAGACTAGCAAGAGAAAATTAAACAAAGCTTTATGAGGAACCATGGCCCAGGGCCTCTCTTCCTGAAGGAAGAAAGGGCGCCAAAGAAGTGGAGTGCACAGAGTGATTATATACCCCCAAATGGGGTGTTTCACATGTGATTGAAATGTCCCTCGCACAATAGACACAAGATTGCACTGTTGGCACAGTGCTTGATGGACATAGCAGGTAATGGTCAGCTATCTCGGTGGACATAGCAGGAGGTAAGTCTATTTTCTGGAGCTGGGTGGTCACAGGTGAGCGCAGGAATCAGTTCCTAGCCTAAGGAAAGATGCTTAATCCTTAAAGAAATGCCAACGTTGGGAGGGGTAGGGAAGTCAGTTACAGCAGGTTACCAGACAAGCACAATAAAATACAGATTTAAGTCCTTGCCTTTGGTATTGATTAAGAGTTTCTAGAGAGAAGGTCGTCTCCTTTCTTCTTCCTGGTGCAGAGAGGGAGGCATATTTTACAGATAGAGATTTACCTTGCAAATGTAAACGTGTCCTAACAAAGCGCAAATTCCATTCCTCAGAGCCTCCTTCCTGTCCCAGTTTATCAAAAGCAGTCAGCATCAAATAATCCTGATGCCAAAGAGACATATCTTGGGGCGGCCAATTCCAGGTCCCCACAGTCCCTCCTTTGAAACTTTAAGAAGTTTCACAGTCCAGAATCTGAGTGGTAGATTGTTTCATCTCACTTAACACATTTCTTAGTCCTGGTAATAGATCAGTCCAGTTAAAGTCATTTTAGAAGGCGGCGATGCAGGTGGTCTCCCAAAGTTAGGCCTATATTTTGGAAGCAAGCAATCAGGTATTTAATAAGTATTTCTATGGAAATACAAAGAAAAACAAGGTTAGTGATTGGAGCAAATTATAAACTAGTTCCTCAGTCCAGGAGGCAACCAGTCAAGAAGACTTCTAGATGTCAGAGTCAAAGCATCTTTTGCAGCTTGAAACATCTCTGATGATGTCATCAGACATTCAGATATCTTTCCGAGTGTCTTACAGCTTAGAAAGCAACAGACAGGAATCTCTCAAGTTTCTATCAAGTCTTTCAGCTTCAGTTTGCAAGGCTTCAGGAAAAAGAGCAGGTTCAATTCTCAATGATTCCAAATGAAAATGAGGTATTATTGAAAACATTAGTTTGGAGATTTGTAACCAGACATTTCAGTAGAAGAATTCAGGATCCAGTCCAGTTCACAGGTAGAGAAAAAAACCTCAAAGACAATTAACAGAACTAGGATCTAAGATCCACAAATGTGTATTTTAGTTTTTCACTGAAACATAGTTCTTCTCTCTAAAATCATCCTCATTTTTACCAAAGATCGCAAAATTAAGACTAATTGGTTAGAAAAATAAGTTTAGTATCAAGAAACTTGGCCCAATTATTTACATAAGTGCAGCAAGAACAGCAATTGATCATATAGGCTCTTAAATTGCTTTCCTGGAATTCTTTTATGACTAATCTCAGATTGAACTTTAAAGACCTCTCAAGGCCAGGAAAGCAAAGCCAAGGACTTGCAGTCAGATTTTGCCTGCAGTACCTACATATTTGCGTGGATTTCTGTCTTCTTGAGGTCCCCCAAAATATTCTGAGGTTCCTTACATCTGCCAGATAAGCAAGCTTCCTTACTTACCAGGTAAGATTGCCAGAATCTCTGTAAACCAGGTACCAGGCCCATATTTCCAAGTGGCTTATTTCAGAAAGTGAACCTTATTCCTCAAAGGCTGTATTGTCATATCCGAGTCTGTATGTTCCTCTCAAATATGACATTCCAGTCAAAGCCTTGGTAATACAACCAATGTTTCCAATTGTGTCCTGTTATAAGGAAAACAGATTCTTATTGAACCTATGCAAATAACTATATTGCCATGAAATAACCATACTCACTCACAAAGAGTTTCTAAATTCTGGAGGGTTCAGGTAGGGAGAAAAAGATAAATGTTTCAGTTTTGCTCACAAAGGTGTAATTTCACCAAATTGCCAAAGTCATGGTTAGCATAAGAGAAAAGAGAAAAAGATTTCCTTGAATCTGAGAAAACAAAGCAAAACATCAAAAAATCAACAATATTTCAAATAAAAGTCATAAAAATTAGCATCCTCAGTTCATTCAATCCTGTATAGTCAGTTCTTGATCTTAATCTTCTGTTAGCAGTTTTATGGGGTCATCAGTTTCTCCATTAGATTTCTGTAATTTCTTACCCAGAGTTCAGTTCTATGATCTGAAAGTTTATCAGAAGACTGTAATCCAGAGTAAGTGTCAGAGTCTTTTCCATGAATCCCTCTGAAGATGAGTCATATTTGCAAAAGCAAAAGGCATCAGAGTAAAACAACTGACAGTAAACAACAAAAGACTTAAAAATGACAATTGACAGAGGAACTTACTATTTTTGTCATATACAACACCTTAAAATAATATTTAGAATTATGGGTGATAGCCAGGACAGATCAGAATTTTAGGAATGTTATATAATTTTCAAAACACTTATATCAATAACATTTACCTGCATAATACCAACTAAGAAAGATTATCATCACTTTATCTGACAATGCTTCCAATGTAATTTTAACAGACAAAATAAGCCTAACTAGTTTAGAATCTTCCAACTTATAGGAAGAGAGAGCAAATTTCTCTGTGAAGTCCCAGTGGCCCTCTGAAAATCCCCAGAGAAATCCTCCTCCTTCATCCAGGTGAAAAGAAAGCCTTTATTCAGGACTTGAATATTTTTGAGGGAGAAGCTTGTGAAAAATATCAAAACGTTTTAAACAAGATCAAGAGGTTGCTGATTTTGTCATTGTAAAACAAGCGTCACTGAAACAATGCTTCATAATAGTTAACCAAAGTGACAACAGCAAAAAAAAACCCTTAACAGACCTCTGTCTTTTGCAGAGGAGATTATCTTAACCAGAAATAGATCTTCTAAACCTTTTATAATCTCTTTATCAAGAGCAGACTAATAGTGTAAGAAAAGTATCCTTTTTAGAGAGAAAGCCAAATTCTTAATTTCTGTACCAGTTTACTTTTTCATATTAAAACCCATTTACCTAATTAGATTCATTTTAATCTTAACTAGGTTGACCAGGTACAAAACTCTTTTCAGAATTTCCATAAATTTCTTTTTACATTCAGAATTTTTCCCATACTTTCTTTCTTACTTTCTAGTATATTAGGACAAATTTATCTTTCTTAACCAAACAAAAATACTTCCATTCTTTATACCCTCTTTACTGAAAACATACATTTTACTTTCCTTGAATACAGAGCTGTTTTCCTTATTAATTTCCAGTAACTTTAATTACATGTTAATTAGACTTTTAACCCTTACAGACCCTAATGAAAACTAAAAACTAAGCAATTATGAACTTTTATATGAACATTCTAAACACTTTTCATAATTTCTAGAAACATGCCACTTTACAATAAAACACGAGGCATACTTTCCAATAGACCCAAACACTTTTAGCCTCTTTGCAATAAGAAGCCAAAAGTAGATTTACATTTAATAATTAATGTCTAATATCTTATTTGGAAATGATCTAGATACTCAACAAATTTTATCATTCAAATTAAATTAACCTAGCAAAACTTCAACATTTCAAGTTGCCAAAGATTTTGGAAGTTATTTTAAATACACATACCGTAAACTATAATTATTGCTAAAAAAGACTTATCTATAAACTCTTATTTCATTTATATCTAAATCATTTGTTCCCAATAATGATGTTTAGATTACCCACAAAAACTTAGAGATATTAAACAATTTTAGCTAGCATTTAAAGCTATCATCCTGACAAATTTGTAACAGGGATAACATAAGCTTTTCTTTTTTTTTTTTTAAACTAATAAGCCAGGCTGCATATTTGCATCATATGCAGTGCTAACTCTGGAGGACATATCCAAACATTTTAATCAAACCAAGAAACTTAAACTTTCATTAACCAAAGATTAATCCATATCATCTTAACTTAAAAGACATTGGGTTAATTTCCATTGCATTTAGAATTTATGCAAGTGCTTACTTTAAGCCAATTAAACAGAGCTCTTAGTTTTGGCCATACCACCCGGGGGTAAAAATGTCACACACATATAGACACACACAGACACAGAGCCTTCACACCTATTGTTTTAAAAATCACTCCTTGAATCTGGTACAATACAAAGCTCCCTAGTTATGAATCCGAATTTTGTTCTGAGCCTTTTTACTAATATTTCTGGAGAAGACACTCAAGATGCTAGATTTTTTCTCAGCAAGGGCACGCTTATGACCTTTCCCCTCTTTTTTTTTTCCTTCAGTCTTAGGAATTAGTGATGGGCTAAATAGCAGTTCCTGGAGAGGGGAGATGATAATCCTTTTTGAGATAAAGGAAATGGGTGGAATCTGAACTGCCTCTAGAGCTGTATTTCCAGTCTTGCAAGGATTTTGCAAGGACAGTTGGAAGTTACTAGGTTTAACTTAATGACATTCTAGATTGACCTACTTGTCCAACTACATCACAAAGGCACAGAGAAACTCCTCAAGTTTTCTCCAAGCTGGAGTTTCTGGGGCAGAACCCATCCAACTGAAAGTGTTTCCAACTAGTTAAAATGCACCCAGGGTGTGAGTCTCTGGGTTGAGGCATTCCTCATGGCGGTAAAGCTGGTGTTCAACTGACAGCAGCCAGAGAAAGGGTGCAAAAGTGCCTGACTGCAGACATCAACATAGTTATAAGATCTAGTGAGGTCCCACTTAGCCCAGGGCACTTAGTCCCTGAGCCAGCACAGGGCAAGGCAGGAAGGAGGAGGCAAGGGCCTGGAGCTGGCTGGGAGGGCTGGGGCTCCCTGTGTCTTGGGCTGAGAGTTAAGTACAGAAGGTCCAGGTTCTGGTTAGGTCCAGCCTGAACTTAACCTCGACTTGGTGACAAGAGAGGAGGTGACAAACAGAAAGGAAAAGAGATCAGGCCTCACCCTCATGGCCTTTTCCCCAAGGGTTATCGAGATAGAGGTCACACAGCAGTTCCCATGCCAGGGCACACAACACCATCAGGACAGTTCACAGAATAAATCACAGGTCTCCTATCCTCATAACTGACTCAGTAGGTCACCTAAAATGCTTAACGAGTCAATTGCCGAGAGGGCTCCCCATGTGGTCGCCAGGGTGATCAGGCCCGGAAACCAGAGTGGGGTTTCTCTATTGCAAAGCTCAAAAGGAGCCCAAAAATGGTCGCTGTCACTTTAAGAGAGAGGAAAGAAAAGGTTCCATTACCTTGAAAATTTCCTGAACATAGGGCAGTGTCCTACTTGTTCTGCCTGTGGGGTTCCTATAGCATGGGGCGATGGTGGGGGGTCCCTCAGCATTGCATCCCTTTTATGCCTGGTAGTCATAATTGCCAGGTGAATTGTCCTGGAGATAAAAGAACAGAGAAAAACAGTGAAGAATTTTTCCACTGGTCTTGGGGACATTCTACCCAATTGCGTCCTGGAGCCATTCACCCTAGAAGTGGTTCCCATAGTCAACCAGAGGTTAGAGTTTGGTACTTTCCTTGAACTGGAGTCCCAATTGGGACTTTCCCGCAGTTCAGAGAGTGGTCAGGTGCCAGAGGAAGGGATCCCAATCCAGCCTTAGGAAAAGAAACTTGTCACGGGAGTCTTGGAGATTGGCGGCCGTCCTAATGACTTAAGTGGCCAACCCATGCCCATGTAAAATTTGTCTACTAGAGATAGAGTGAGGAAGGAATGGATTAATTCATTTTCCATCACCCTCAGGCTTAAGGTACTGTTCTTTTCAGGCTGAATGCCACATTTTGCCCCACAGAGTAGCCATGGGCAGCAAACATGGATTCACACAGCTGTCCAATAAGGTTCCAGATTGAGCAGTGAATTTAGATCCAATTTTGAAAAAGAGAAAGGCACAAGGAAGACTAGAACTTCAGCTCACAAGCTGGTGAAGCAAGCGGGCTCAGCAAGCCAAGGAGTCAAAAGAAAGACTGCCTGGACTCAAGGCCTGGAAGTAGCGTTCCTCTATTCAAATAGCATGGGGACAGGGCCTATGGGCAGTGAAGAGCTGCAGCATGGCGACATGACCCATGGCCAGGACTTAACAGGTCTTAGTTTATTGCATAAAGAAGTATTCCCAGGCAGACATTTTAAAACATACTCAGGCAAAATTGATATAACCTCTTCATAAAAAGAAAATCAGCTCAAGCATTCCAACCTTTATAATCTTATGAACACTTAGACCTTTATATTTTACCAATTCAATTAAAACCTGAATCAGGGTTTAAACCTAGTCATCATTTTCTTGCCTTTCTTTTTCAATTTGGCTTTTTTCATAAATACCAATGAAATTAGATGAGAGTTCTCACAATCTTTTCCCTGATTTAGAAGTTTTCCGAATTTAAATGATCCATCGTCTGGCCAAATTGATGAGTAGGATCTTAACAGCGACTCAACCAAAGCTTAACCAAGGACGAAGAGGTGTCCCCAAAAGAGATCCAGAAAATTCACTCCCAAAAATAGCCTAAGAAAGTAAAGGCAAGCAACAAAGGTTGAGACGATGAAGGCCCCTTATGAAAGCCATTGGGACCTCTTATGACAAACTCCCCTGAGAGCTGAAACAGCTGAACAAACAGCATGTCCCTGAACCCAGTCTACTCTACTGGCCGTCAAGATGCGTGCCAGTACATGCATCCTCCGATGGCAGAGACCAGAAAAGTCACAAACCAAGCTCTCAAGACATAGAACAAGACAAAAAGCACAGACAACAGGCCTATAGAGATGCCTATGTCTTATGACAAACAGAAAGACAGAGACAAGGAAAAGTCTATCTCTGGGAGGAAAAGGATCTACAACCAGTGAGTACTCAAATCCTAGAGTCGCTGAATCCAAGAAGCTAGCCTCACCAACATTTTCTCCTGCTAACCTAAATTTAGAAGATCAAAAAACTCACCACTCTTGCTTCCACTGGAGCCTGCAGGCAGAGATCCGGGAGACTGACATGGTAAGAACTCTCACCTCTTGCCGGCTCTCGTCAGGGGTCCAGGATCTCTCAGCTGCAGCAGTCCAGGAGCAAGCAGTGTCCAGCCAGTGAAATTTTATCCTGCTGACTGCACCAAAACTGTAGGTGAGGAAGACATTTCCTCTTCCCAAATGTAGGTTCGTCTGGCAGGAGAAGGAATTAAATTCACATGAGACAGAATAGCAAGAGAAAATTAAACAAAGCTTTATGAGGAACCATGACCTGGGGCCTGTCTTCCCAAAGAAAGAAAGGGCACCAAAGAAGTGGGGTGCACAGAGTGATTATATACCCCCAAACGGGGTGTTTCACATGTGATTGAAATGTCCCTCCCACAATACTCACTAGATTGCCCTGTCAGCACAGTGCTTGATGAACATGGCAGGTAATGGTCTGCTATCTCGGTGGGCGTAGCAGGAGGCAAGTCTATTGTCTGGAGCTGGGCGCTCACAGGTGAGCACAGCAATCAGTTCCTTCCCTAAGGAAAGATGGTTAATCCTTAAAGAAATGCCAACGTTGGGATGGGGAGGGAAGTCAGTTACAGGAGGTTACAAGACTAGCACAATAAAATGCAGATTTAAGTCCTTGCCTTTGGTATTGATTAAGAGTTTCTAGAGAGAAGGTCATCTCCTTTCTTCTTGCTGGTACAGAGAGGGAGGCACCTTTTACAGATAGAGATTTACCCTGCAAATGTAAACGTGTCCTAACAAAGGGCAAGTTCCATTCCTCAGAGCCTCCTTCCCTGTCCCAGTTTATCAAAAGCAATCAGCCTCAACTAATCCTGATGCCAAAGAGACATATCTTGGGGTGGCCAATTCCAGGTCCCCACATAACCATACTCACAAAGATTTTCCCAATTCCCGAGGGATCAGGTACGGAGGAAAAGATAAATGTTTCAGTTTTGCTCACAAAGTTATAATTTCACCAAATTGCTATAAGTCATAGTTAGCACAAGAGAAAAGAGAAAAAGATTTTCTTAAATATGAGAAAACAAAACAACACATAAAAAGTCAACAATATTTCAAACTGAAGTCATAAAAAGTTATAATCATCATCATCAGTTCACACAGTCCTGTATAATTGATTACTGAGCTTAATCTCCGTTAGCAGATCTATGAGGTTATCAGTTTCTCCATTAGATGTCTGTAGTTTCTTACCCAGTTCAGTTCTGTGATCTCAAAGTTTACCAGAAAACTTTAATCCAGAGTAAGTGTCAGAGTCTTTTCCATGAATGTCTCTGAAGACGAGACATATTTGCAAAAGCAAAAGGCATCAGAGTAAAACAACTGACTGTAAACAACAAAAGACTTAAAAATGACAATTGACAGAGAAACTTATTATTTCTGATATATAACACCTTAAAATAATATTTAGAATTATGGCTGATAGCCAGGACAGATCAGAATTTTAGGAATGTTATATAATTTTCAAAACACTTATATCAGTAACATTTACCCACATAGTACCAACTAAGAAAGATTATCATCACTTATCTGACAATGCTTCCAATGTAATTTAACAGCCCAATAAGCCTAATTAGTTTAGAATCTTCCACCTTATAGGAAGAGAGCAAATTTTCTCCGTGAAGTCTCAGGGACCCTCTGAAAATCCTCAGAGAAATTCTCTTTCTTCATTCAGGTCAAAGGAAAACCTTTATTTAGGACTTGAATAATTTTTTTTTGAGAGAAAAGCTTGTCAAAAATATCAAAAGGTTTTTAAAACACTTACTTAAACAATGCTCACTGTGAAAGAATGCTTAGGTATCAACAGCAAAAAAAAAAAAAAAAACCTTAATAGAGAGACCTCTGTCTTTTTGCACCTAGGAAACATAAACATAGATACAACAAAACATAGATCTTTTGTAAACTTACTCAGAAGGAAAAACATTTTGTAATCTCGCTATCAAGAGCAGACTAAGAGTTTAAGAAAATTATCCTTTTAAGAGAGAGAGACAAATTCTAATTTTTGTACCAGTTTACTTTTTTCATTTTAAAACCCATTTACTTAATTGGATTCATTTCAATCTTAACCAACTTGACCAGGTACAAAACTCTTTCCAGAATTTCTTTCACAAACCTATAACTTTCTTTTTGCCTTCAGAATTTGTCCCATGCTTTCTTTCTTCTCTTCTAGTACAGTAGGACAAATATATCTTTCTTAACCATCCAAACAAAAATATTTCCATTCTTTATACCTTCTTTACTGAAAACTTACATTTTAACTTTCCTTGAATGCAGACCTGTTTTCCTTATTAATTTCCCGTAGCTTTAATTATATAGGTTAATAAGAACTTTTAACCCTTAACAGACAAAGTAAACACTAAAAAGGTAAGCAATTATGAATTGTCTTTTATATCAGCATTCTAAACACTTCATAATTTCTAGGAACACATCACTTTACAGTAAAAGACCCAAAGACTTTTTGCATCTCTGCAATAAAAACCAAAAGCAGATAAACTTAGATATTTAGCAACGTTTGTTCTATCCAATCCGAAAATTACCCAGATGCTCAGATTTTTATCACTTAACTTAGCAGAACTCAAGATTGCTACCAAAAAGAATTTGGAAGCTGTTTTTTCCTCCCCCCACCTATTTTTCTTCAGTCTTAGGAATTAAGGATGGGCTAGGTAGTAGTTCCTGGAGAGGGGAGATGATAATCCTTTTTGAGATAAAGGAACTGGGTGGAATCTGAACTGCCTCCAGAGCAGTAGTTCCAGTCTTGCAAGGATTTTCTAAGGACAGTTGTTCTTGATTTCCCAGAAACTGGGTTGTAACTCAAATTACATTCCAGGTTGATCTAACTGTCCAACTGCATCATAAAGGCACAGAGAAACCCAAGTTTTCGATTTTACAGATGGTCCAGGTTCTGGTCAGGTCCAGCCTGAACTTAACCTCAACTTGGTGACAACAGAAGAGATGATGAGCAAAACAGACAAAGAAAAGAAGAGAAGGGATCAGACCTCACCCTCATGGCCTCTTCCAGAGGGTTATCAAGATAAGAGTCACACAACAGTTCCTATGCTGGGCACACAACCCTAGCAGGACAGTTCAGAGAATAAATCACAGGTCTCCTACCCTTATAACTAACTCAGTAGGTGACTAAAATACTCAATGAGTCAACTGTCAAGAGAGGGCACCCCACTTAGGGTTGCTGGGGTGATCAGGCCCAGAAACCCAAAGTTGGGGCTCCCAGGGGTGGAGCCTTTTACTCTTTAAAGATTTCTTTGTTTCCTGGTTGCAAAGCTCAAAAGGAGGTGAAAATGGCCATTGTAACTCTAAGAGAGATGAAGACATTTGGGATAGTTCTATTCAGAAAAACCTTTTGTAAGTGCTTACTTTAAGTCAATGGAATAGAGCTCTTTAGGAAAGAAGAAGGAGTTGAGCTCTGAGATTCCAAAGGCAGCTGCAGAGGAGATGGAAGGGATAAGCAGGCTGGGACGGTTTCTGGCTTCTTATCCTTTTTTTTTTTTTTTAATTCAGATACAGTCTCTGTCAATTTATGGTTAGTCTCCTGTAAAGAATTCACTTTATCATTATTACGTTTTGAAGCCTCTAAACGCCAATCATAATAAGTTTCGTATTCTTTTGCTTTAGTTTTAGAGCCGGCTCTTTCTACTTGTGCGCACAAATACAGTAGCTTTGAGATATCGAACGTTCCCCACTTTGGCCACTGAAGTCATTCTTAGTTAGTCCTTCCCATTTTGTTAGATACTTGCAAGCATTGTTTCCATACAGGAAACCAGCTGGAGTTCCATTGGGAGGTTGTCTATCTGGGAGCCGGCAGGCTTTAAAAGCACGGTTTTCCCATTTTCTTTTTGCTTGTCTGTTTTTTTTTTTTTAATAAAGTCTGAACAACTTATAAGGACAGTGTAGTGGGTCAGAAGTGTGCTGCTTGCGAGTGTTACTCCCTATAGAAAGGTCGTAAACACTCTCTTACATGCCTCGGTTTTTCCTCCGGCAGTCTAAAACCACCGTGGGGCTTGGAAGCACAGGTGACCAGCCCCTATGTGCGCATCCCTGGACGAGCCTGTAATTAATTACCGTGAATGAGAGTGGAGTTCCCTATGGGACCACTGCACATCACGAGGATTGATCCTCTGACACTCCTGCTGTGGTCCTTAGTCACATAAGGGCTCCTTTTGGTAAAGGTCGGGAGGAGCAAGTGTCCCTTTTCTTTGGAGCTGAAGACACTCAGTCTCTCATTTCTCTATCAAGCAGTTTGTTCAGACCTTATAAACACAATTCTTTCCAATTCAGAGCCAAATTAAAAGGACAACCAACCCAGCTCACTCCAAGCTCCTCTAAGCCCCTGTGGCTTAGGAATTCTCTCTAGGTTTTTCTCCACCTAGGAACTGTACCGGTACCCCTCAAAACCTCTGGTTTTAAGACTTTACCCAGCTCATATAAACTCTTGGACCGTCAACTTAAACTAAGGAGGTCTGGCTTTCAGGAGAACTCACCAGGGTCACCTGAAGAATGCAGTGATCTGGGGGGCTCAATGGGCACTTATTGGTACTGAATGCCAGTTCAGTGTAGATTCCAGGTGGCCTCCGTTGGGTTTCTCTGAAATCCTGCCATGACTACGCCAAGAACTGTCGACGAAAATAATCCATAACCAATCTATAAATGAAAATTTGGGTGAGTTTATTCTGAGCTTAAATCTGAGGATTATAACCCGGGGCCTTTCTTCCCAAAGGAAGAAAGGGCACCAAGGAAGTGGGGTGCACAGACTGGTTATATACCCCCAGAGAGGATGTTTCACATAAGATTGAAATGTCCCTTTTGCAATAGTGGCGAGACTGCTCTGTCAGCACAGCGATTGATGGAATTAGCAGGTAGGTGTTCTCTCTCAGTGAGCACAGCAGGGTGGCAGTCTGTTGTCTCCAGCTGAGTGGTGACAGGTGAGCTGGGTGGTCAAAGGTGAGTGCAGCAATCAGTTCCTAGCCTAAGGAAAAATGCTTACCCTTAAGGAAATGTTAATGTGGGGGGGGGAAGTTGCACCTTTATCTCAAGGCCTTTGTTCTGGCCATAGGAAATGTCTAAGCAGATATGCAATGCGTGCTCAATAGCCACAGTCAGGCCCCTTTGGAAAAAAAAACAAAGTCAGGCCAAATTAGGTTTATATCAAATGGCTTCCTCATATACTCCAATATATCCTATTGCTTGCTATATTTATTTGTCAGATTGAAAAGTCCCTCCCACAATAGTCACAAG